AAAAAAAAAAAAAAAAAAAGGATAGAAAAACCCATTTTCTGGGGAGAAATTCAAGCCTGCTGCAGACAATTCCATAAGTAACAAGGAGCTGAATGGTTATCACCAAGATAATGGGGAAAATATCTCCAGGGCATGTCAGAGACCTTTGTGGCAGCTTCTCCCATCATAGGCACAGAGGCCTAGGAGGAAAAAATGGGTTTCTCTGTCAGGCCCAGGGTCTCTCTGCTGTGCGCAGCCTAGGGACTTGGCGTCCTGTGTCCTAGCCACTCCAGCCATGGTTAAAATGTTCCAAGGTACAGCTCTGGATGTGGCTTTAGAGGGTGCAAGCCCCAAGGCTTGGGAGCTTCCACATGGTGTTGCGCCTGCTGGTGGCACAGAAGTGGAGAATTGAGGTTTGGGAACCTCCATCTAGATTTCAGAGGATGTATGGAAATGCCTGGATGTCCAGGCAGAGGTCTCCTGCAGGAGCAGGGCCCTCATGGAGAATCTCTGCTAGGGCAGAGTGAAAGGGAAATGTGAGGTTGGAGTTCCCACACAGAGTCCCCCTGGGGCACTGCCTAATGGAGCTGTGAGAAGGGGGTCACCATCCTTCAGACCCCAGAATGGTAGATCCTCTAGCAGCTTGCACTGTGAGCCTGGAAAAGCCACACTCAATGCCAGTCCATGAAAGCAGCCAGGAGGGGAGCTGTGCCCTGCAAATCCACAGGGGCAGAGCCACCCAAGGCCATGGGAGCCCACCTCTTGCATCAGTGTGTCCTGGATGTGAGACATGCAGTCAAAGGAGATCATTTTGAGCTTTAAGATTTGACTGCCTTGTTGGATTTCAGACTTGTATGGGGCCAGTAGCTCCTTCATTTTGGCCAATTTCTCCCATTTGGAATGGTTGTGTTTACCCAATGCCTGTGCCCCCATTGTGTCTGGGAAATAACTAACTTGCTTTTGATTTTGCAGGCTCATAGGCGGAAGGAACTTGCCTTGTCTCAGATGAGACTTTGGACTGTGGACATTTGAGTTAATGCTGAAATGAGTTAAGAATTTGGGGGACTGTTGGGAAGGCATGATTGGTTTTGAAATGTGAGGACATGAGATTTGGGAGGGGCAAGGGACAGAATGACATGGTTTGGCTGTGTCCCCACCCAAATCTCATCTTGAACTGTAGCTACCATAATCCCCCTGTGTTATGGGAGGGACCTGGTGGGAGGTAATGGAATCATGGGGGCAGGTCTTTCCTGTGCTGTTCTTGTGACAGTAAGTCTCATGAGATCTTATTGTTTTATAAATGGGAGTGCCCCTGCACAAGCTCTCTTGGCTGCTGCCATGTAAGACATATCTTTGCTCTTTCTTTGCCTTATGCCATGACTGTGAGGCCTCCCCAGACGTGTGAAACAGTGAGTTTGTTAAACCCCTTTCTCTTAATAAATTACCTAGTCCCAGGTATGTCTTCAACAGCAATTTGAGAACAGAATAATACACTCCACCTCCTGAATTCAAAGGATCCTCATTTCTCAGGCACCTAAGTAGCTAGGATTATAGGCATGTGCCACCATGTCCAGCTAATTTTTTTAAAAATATATTTTTAGTAGAGATGGGGTTTTGCCATGTCGGCCAGGCTGGTCTCAAACTCCTGACTTCAAGTGATCTGCCCACGTGGGCCTCCCAGAGGGTTGAGATTACAGGCATGAGCCACTGCACCTGGCTGCAATGTGTTCTGATAAGTGTCTTATATAGGGGGAGAAGAAATGTTCTTGCTAAGATACAGAGTCACCAGGTAAGGAGTGTTGTGTGAGAGGGGCAAAACGTTCCAGCTCTTCCATTGTCATCAGGTTCATGTTAGGACCTCATCAGTTAACCTGGACCAACAGATCCCTACAGAAAACCATTTAGATTTGCCACTGCAGGAGGAAGGCACAGGAGAAGAGGAGGAGGAGAGATTCAGTCTCCTGTGATACCGTGTAGAGGCTGCTGGTTAGAAAAAGTCAACTGACACAATGTGATGACAGGGAAGAAGAAGAAGAAGAATAAAGAAGAAAGAAGAAAGAAGAGAAGAAGAAGAGGAAGAAGAAGAGGAGGAGGGGGTAGGAGGAGGAAGAAGACAAAGAAGAGAAAGGAGAAGAAGAAGAGGAAGAGGATGAAGGAGGAGGAGGAGGAGGAGGAGAGAAGAAGACCACCCAAACACAGTGTGATGAGAGAAAGAAGAAATAGAAAAAAACAAAAACAAAAAACCCAAACAAACCAGGCAGAATGGAAGTGAAGGTGAAGTAGTTCTCTTCAGGATGCCATGCCAAGCAGAAAGCCTCCCAAATCCTCCAGTTACTGGAACGTTCTTCCTCACAGATGATCCCACCTCCTCGTTTTGCTTTGCCATCAACAGTTATCTGGTTGCTCTTTGGGCTTTTCACCAGTTCTTTGGCTGTATTCAAATCCTCCTCTACTTGCTTCCAGTCAACTTTGCTGTACCCAGTATGGTTTGCAAACTGAAATAGAGAGAAAAAAATACAAAACTACCTTCCCCAGCTGTTGCAACCAAAGTACCAGCCCGCTGGAATATGGCACCTGTACCCTATCCAGGGCTACCTCTGACGGACAGTGGAGTGGCCATGCTAGGCATCTGGCCCAGATTCCTGCCTAAATATGGCTACTTTGTAGCAAATTCTGCAAGTTCCAGTGACTCAAACTTTCCCCAGAGTTTCCTTGACTGGACAGAACCATTCTGTTGGGCTTATCTCTTGAGGACACTGTGGGGGCTCTGTGCCATCTTTTCCCACTGTCTTTCTGGAATCGGCCCCATTTTTCCACAAAACTGATGTTTAGTTGTTGTTTTTTTTTAAATGAGACATAGAAATTGACCCTCCTGGTCTTAAAGCTCAAGAAACTTCCATTTGTCTTCTCTGAATTCCTTTCTCAGGAAACTGACCATCGGGCATCATGGATAGTATGTGTAGGGGCTGGCTGAAACTGTCCAGATCACTGCATCTGGACAATGGTGTGTCGGACCTCTCATCTGGCCACCCACTGGGTGTTAACCAACTCTTTTTCCCTACTTCACCCTAATTCCTGTTTTCCTGTATGTCATTATATTTCTTCCTTGCTGTATAAACTCCTAACTTTAGTGGTCGGAGAGATGGATTTGAGACCTGTTTCCTGGATGACATCACTCACAATAAAAGCCTTCCTTTCCTGGTAATACTCATTGTCTCAGTGATTGGCTTTCTGTCAGGTGGACCTAGACTGAACCCCTGGCATTCAGCAACACTGCCTGCCCTTGTCCTGTCCTCGCTGCCCCTGAAGTCTTCAGTGCAGCATGATAATCACTCCTTTCATATCCTGAACGCTCCTCCTCCTCTTTCCTTCTGCCTTTCTTGCCAGGTAAAACCCCAACCCTGGTTAAATGCTTCCTCTTTCTTACTTTGTTCCTGAGTGGCTGAAAAAAGTCATTCTGAGTGTGGCTACATAATAACAATACCAACAAAACCACCACTATTTGATGGCCTGCCTGACTTTTTTTTGTCTTCATAAGACACAATATTTATTGTAACCAGGCAAGGGGCAGGAGACAGTTCCATTTTTAAATAAGACTGTTTTGTAGTCATTGCAAAGCCTCAAGTTTAGTTTTCTTCACTTATACATTTGATATAAATAGGAAGCCATTTTCCTTCTTTCTTTTCTTTTTTTTTTTTGAGTGGGAAAAAGGTGGTACCATCTCAGCTCACTGCGACCTCTGCCTCCAGGTTTCCAGTAATTCTCATGTCTCAGCCTCCCAAGTAGCTGTAATTACAGGCATGCACCACCACTTCCAGCTAATTTTTTTTTGTATTTTTAGTAGAGTTGGGGCCTTGCCATGTTGCCCAGGCTGCTTTGAAATTCCTGAGCTCGGGTAATCCTCCCACCTTGGCCTCCCAAAATGCTAGGATTACAGGTGTGATCCACCATGACCAGTCTAAAGCTATTTTCTTAATAGTTACATTTGTACCAAACATTAAATAAAATGCACATTCGTATCAGTTGTATATTTTTAAATGTAAGTACTATACCAGTTCTGGAACAGTGACTTCCAGCCTCTGTGTTATTTTTTCTTAAATTTTTAAACTTTTTTTTGATCAGGCGAAATAATTTTATTTGGACTGAGCGACGGAGAATGAGAAAAGGACCTGAGACCGTATACCGGGCTAAGGAGGAGAAGTGAGCTTCCAAAATGTCAGTCAAAGCTCATCGACCAAATGGATTCTACTTCCCAGCAACCTTTGCAACCATCAAAAGGCCTGCTGGGGAATGTATTTGCCACTAAATTCTCCAAGTATGCCAACGTTACAAAAAAGATAGAGGTTTTTCATCATAATTAAATTTCCACAACCCTCCCCAATCACAAGTATTAGAAGAGGAAGTAAAAATCATTTGACAGATCTCAAACTTGTCTTCAATATTTAGTTCATCATCTTCAAAAAAGAGCTCCCTTGCTAAACTCGTTAGCTATATGAGCTATCCCAGCAGCAAGAAGACGGCCATGGCGTGGCAATCCTCTCCCCGTTTTCCCTAGCCACTCAGGGCTGAACAGCAGGGTGAGGCTCAGGTAGGGGTGGGAGAGGGGAGCACAAGGGCCATTTTCCCCCAGTACAACATGGCATCTGAAGCTTGATGGGAGAGCGGAACTGGTGAGACTTGAGGGAAGGGTCACTGCTGGAAGAGGAGGAGGAAGGGGAGGAGGAATGCTCGCCATGCTTGTGGTGCTGGTGCATCTTTTCATGAGCTTTCTTCATTTTCTTCTGCGTCTTCTTGTGCATCTCCGACCATGCCAGGAGCCAATGGATTCATAGGAGGCATTCCAGGGGGCAGGCGGTGGGTATGGTGGAGGATACCCTTGGATCTTGGATACTCTGGCTTTGGCACAGGAGGAGGGGGCCCACTTGAAGGGAAAGCTGGATTGCCCTGGGGAGCTTCTGGGGGCGGAGGAAAGGGGCCTGGGGGAAAGGGTGGATTGACGGCTGGTGGGTGGCCAGGATTGGAACCTCCAGGGTACTTGATGTTGGGGGGATGTTGATTTGGCCCTGGCTGCCCGGCATTGGGGTTCCACATGTTTAGGTGTGTCCTCCACCCTTTCCACCACCACCT